GTTTCCCAAAGATATTTTTTAATAAAGTTATTTATTAAATCATATCATTAAATAGTTTTATAAACCTGTTGTAAAATAGGTTTATAAACCTATTTAATTCATTCAATTTTACGAAAATAAAATCTCTTGGTAATTTAGTCATGATCGCATATCGCAAATTAATTCATCAACTTGGCTTTCAATGACTTGTTTTTAATTGGTAAGAATGTTAGTTTAATTATCGCGCGATAATTAAATTAACATCACCTAAGGCGCAAAGGACCAGGGTCCGAGATTGCTGCTATCTCGCTGATGACTGGATTTTCCAGCAGGAATTATTTATAATCAAATAATTCTTGGACTAAGCATAGTCGAAACCCAAAATTACTGCATATTGTCTACTAAACATTATAATACGAATTTTTTGTAATCGCCGAAATTCATGATTTTTGGCATTTAGAAATTCAGATAAATTTTTAATTTGGAGCGATTTGGATAAACAAAACTTGCTAATCTGAAAAATTGATAAGTGCCGTCATAAGCTCTATAGCGTCAATTTTCGAGTGGATATCACCATTATAAAATCAAAAAAGCTTAAGTTTTAAATTTGGGGCGATTTGGATAAACCAAACTTGCTTATCTGAAAAATTGATAAGTGCCGTGATAAGCCCTGTAGCGTCAATTTTCGAGTGGATATCACCATTATAAAATCGAAAAAGCTTAAGTTTTAAATTTGGGTCGATTTGGATAAACCAAACTTGCTTATCTGACAAATTGATAAGTGCCGTGATAAGCTCTGTAGCGTCAATTTTCGAGTGGATATCACCATTATAAAATCAAAAAAGCTTAAGTTTTAAATTTGGGGCGATTTGGATAAACCAAACTTGCTTATCTGAAAAATTGATAAGTCCAGTAATAAGCCCTGTAGCGTCAATTTCCGAGTGGATATCACCATTATAAATTCGAAAAAGCTCAAGTTTTAAATTTGGGGTGATTAGGTAATTAAAATATCACAAACTTAATTAAGTTGGGTGGTTGAAATCCATATCTCATTAGTGGCCAGAGTTTGTTACGGCTCTTGCAAAATAAGTCCCTCCCTCAGAAACTTTGACCCCAAATTTCTCGTGGTACCATCGATTCCCTTCGGGCAACAAAAGCTGAAAATGTAGCTCTTCCCAAGGAGAAAAATCTGGCATCGGGTTGTCCGAAGTAAATGGGTGGTACCATGCGTTTTTTAAGGATTTCTGTGTACGTAAAAAAACCGCCAATTTTCGAATTTTGAAACTCTTGATGCATTAAAATGTTCGTATTTCAAGGGGAAGTCAAATTGCAAATGCAAGTATAGGTCTAACTCTTATTCTACACGATGTACATTGACTTTCTCATTTTTCCGAACTTTGTTCCTTTATTTTTATAGGGGGTGTGGTTGCACAGAATTCAAAAAATGTTGTGGTACATTTGTCCTTGTACCCACAATTGCATTTACAATTAATTTTATTTGATTCAATGAAATCGATGCGAAAAGCTATGGAACGTATCCGTCATTTTATCTCTATACATACGTATGTTGTAAGTAGAATGACCCATTTACGTACATGTCAGTAGTTGTTTATTACAACTTGCATAGTCGTCCAGTTTCAATGCATACATTTAAATATGTAAATATCCACTTATCCATAATTTTTTAAAAATTATACCCATACATACAAACGTAGTAATTACGCTCAAAAATATAATTATTAGTTTCAAAATCTATAAGTACTAGCGTATAAGCCCGTCTCCCGCCGTGCGCGAGTTGATTTTATTTTCAAAATTCCACAAACTAAATCTTTTGTAGATATTTATTAACTGAAACTATTTGATGCCAACGGAAGTGAAAGAAATTTGTCCGTTGCGCAAGCAGCATATCGGCAATCGTCGCTATGAATCGTCATATCGTCGATATGATAGTGGGCCGCGGCCGTGTAATGCTCATTAACTATGAGATGAGATTGGGCTGGGCTGAGGAGGGCCGGGCCGTGTACTACTTAACTACCCCCCGATAACCACCCCCCTCAGATAACCATCTTGCCTAAATAACCACCACCCCAGAAAACCTCCACCCCCAGAAAACCACCACCCCTAGATAACCACCACCCCCAGATAACCATAATCCCTAAATAACCACCAAATAACCCACAGAGAGTACCACACGTTCTGTAATTTAATTTAAAATTAATTTTGGACATATTTTGCAAAAAAACCTCACTAATGTTAGTAAGCTTTCCCGCCATAATGAAAATTGAAGCTTTAACGATCCTAGCTAGCCAATTTCTATTTATCGGGAATTATCAGGCCCATTTTGCTGCGATTCCATGTCAAAAACTTGGATTTTGGACATTGGCCCGGCGGCCCGTCTGGTCACCTAAAATCTTGTACGACCAATGCTCAGACGTTATGGGGTTTAGTCCCGTGGCTGGTCGCGGCTGAGGGCGACTCGCCCACCAAGACCACCAATGCTCATCCATAATGGGGTTTAGTCCCGTAGCTGGTCGCGGCTGAGGGCGACTCGCCCACCAAGACCACCAATGCTCATCCATAATGGGGTTTAGTCCCGTAGCTGGTCGCGGCTGAGGGCGACTCGCCCACCAAGACCACCAATGCTCATCCATAATGGGGTTTAGTCCCGTAGCTGGTCGCGGCTGAGGGCGACTCGCCCACCAAGACCACCAATGCTCATCCATAACGGGGTTTAGTCCCGTGGCTCGGCCCGGCCTGGGCGGCCCGCCTGGCCACCTGAAGTCTTATACCACCAATAATAGTGGAATTTGACACCTTGGCCCTAACACCATCAGATAACCTACCATAGATAACCACCCACCCTCAGATAACCACCACCGCTAGATAACCACCTACCCTTCGATAACCACCACCTCCAGATAACCACCATCCCTAGATAACCACCCACCCTCAGATAACCACGCACCCTCAGATAACCACCACCCCCAGATAACCACCTACCCTTCGATAACCACCCCCTCCAGATAACTACCATCCCCAAATACCCACCACCCCCAGCTAATTACCACCCCCACATAAATAAGCCCACAAAGAGTACCATACGTTCTGACATTTATTGTTTTAAACTTAATTTATTTTGAATTTTCGCGCCATTTGAAACTTGACTTTCTTTACTTTCACTTCCGTTACAAAACATTTACTTTCACTTCCGTTGTCAACAGACATTTCCAGCTTATAATGTAGATATGTATAACAAGAACGCCAGAAAAGGTGGGGGTTATTAATTTCAAATTAGCATTTATATATACCGCATAGATTAAATCAATGAATTTTCCACGTTACTTTTCTTTAGCAAAAGAAATCGAATTATGATTATAAATAAATAAAACAGGCCCATGGCCAGCTTTTATCAGTTCCTGTAATTTTGTTTGGGTGCGAGGTACGTATGTACATATGTATTACATATGTATGTATAAGATTTTAATAATGAAAGCATTTTCTGTGGAAGAAATTAAAAGTTTGCTATTCCATACGCAACATTTGGGTCAAGTCCAGCTAGAATGATTCATGTGTAATTATTGTTCATGTACAAAATTATATTATACTAGCCTATAAGCCCGTCTTTAAGACGGGCTACATTTCAAATTTTTACACGAACATTTCGCGTAAAAAGAATTTTTTTTACGTTGCTAAGGATTTTTTTTACGTTGCTAAGGAATTTTTTTACGTTGCTAAGGAATTTTTTTTATGTTGCTAAGGAAAGTTTTTTGCGTTCCTAAAAAAATTTTTTCATGTTGCTAAAAAAATTCTTTTACGTTGCTACAAAATTTTTTTCATTTTGCTAAGGAAATTTTTTACGTTGATTTTTTTACGTTGCTAAAGAAATTTTTTTATGTTGCTAAAAAAATTTTTTCATGCTGCTAAGGAAATTTTTTTACATTGCTAAGGAATTTTTTTTACCTTGGTAAGGAAGGAAATTTTTTTATGTTGCTAATGAAAGTTTTTTATGTTGCTAAAAAACATTTTTCATGTTGCTAAGGAAATTTTTTGACGTTGGACAGGAAAGTTTTTCACCCGTTGCATAATTATATTCACAATCATAATCATAATCATATGTATAATCATATTCATAATCATATTCATAATCATATTCATAACCATATCCATAATCATATTCATAATCATATCCATAATCATATTCATATTCATATTCATAATCATATCCAAAATCATATTCATAATCATATTCATAATCATATCCATAATCATATTCATAATCATATTCATAACCATATCCAAAATCATATTCATAATCATATTCATATTCATAATCGTATTCATAATCATATCCATAATCATATTCATAATCATATCCATAATCATATTCATAATCATATCCATAATCATATTTATAATCATATTCATAATCATATTCATAATCATATCCATAATCATATTCATAATCATGTTCATAATCATATTCATATTCATATTCATAATCATAATCATAGATCCAGTCCCTTCTCTGATTGGTGGAAAGGCGGCAGCCAATCAGAATGCAGGAATGTCACAGAAAATTTCACGGGACGGACTTTTCGAAATTATAATATAGATGTACATTTGTATGTATATGTATATATCTTACAAGACCACTAATCCGACGTAGAAGCAGCAACCAAACTTTTTACCTGCAAAACAAACAAGCAAAAATGTGTCATAAAAATGCAAATGAAAACGAGATGGGTTTTCACTTGGTTCGATGAACGTATCATCTTCGTAGGAGTAATAAGCCTTCAGAACTATGATAATCCTAAGCATAATTAATACATAATACTTATGTACATATGTATGTATACATATGTATACATATGTACATTCATACGTAAAACATGCACGTAAAACATACATGTATGCACATACTAGTATGTGACGATTACTGCTACGGACGTCTTAAATCTTAAATGTTTTACATAACGAAGCAGTCAGTTAACAAGTGAGTCATTGCTAAACAACATATGACTCAATCGAATCAAATACATACACGAATTATAACTAATATTCTTCCATCTCTATTTTATAGTTGTCTTTTTTTTACAATAAAAACGAAATGTCAGACCAAAGTGAAAAAACCTTACGCGATTTTGAAACAATATTTCAAGAATTATTTAACTGGCAGCTTGAACGGGACTTGATACTGAAACTCATTCCATACGTGATAAATATATATCAAAATAATTCCGACAAAATTGGAAGTCCTGAATATTTATGTGAACACACTGGGTTGAAAAATGTACCGCATAATCTGGACGAAGCATCCTTTCTGAAATACGTCGTTGAGCATGAGTGAGTTGCAATTTTTACTGTAGTTGTTAATTTTGGATAATCAGAGTTCCCGACATTGTATTTTTGTCAAATGCGTTATAATTATGTATCCAGACGGGGGGTTCGTATTTACGCAATATCTCTAAAATATCTACAAACACGCAAAAGTGCATATTTATTTGCTAAATATAAAAATAAAAATTTTCAGAAAATTTGTATTTTTGAATATATGTATTGCTCTGGATTTTTGTGGTCTACTTTCTTTGAGCTAAAGCGTTTGCCTCACATCTTTTAAACAAATATATTTGATTTACGTGTTTTCAACTAATAGCGGAACTATTTACAAATATACGCAAACCTAGAAATAATTACATATGTATGTACATACAAATTTGTAAAAAACTGAAATTGTTGTAATCTATAAAAGTTAGGCAACACAGTCAAGAGTGACAAGGCTTCGTTTGTCATTAAATGATTTTGAAAATAAATGCATATCCGTCTTCTGTAAAGGGCAGATAACGCTATCGTACTGGCTATGATCTTAACGACCAACACAAAATAGCCGTATCAATTGTACCTTGCCTGTGTATGCCATAAAAACTACTGAATGGCTGAATGGCATTTCTTGCACGAGTGCACGAAATGCGGGAAATATGTAAGCGACATCCAGCGGACAATTCTGTGGTTATCTAACTCACTACTAATGAATAGACCTGTGAAGCCACTATCCCATTGGTATTGGGTATAGTGTACTCAGGTTACAGTATGATAGAAAAGTCGCCAGTTGGGGGAGATTCTTTGCATTTCTTGAATTTATTGTCCAGTGTCGTGCAAGAAATGCCAAAATGAGAAAGCAATCAAACAATGAAAAAAATGAAGAGTTTTAAGTCTTAATATTTACTATGCAATAAAAATATTTACTTTATATTTTCATCCTCTGTCAAACAGATTCCAGCACCTTCAGACATTGTTGAAATGGATTCTAATAACGCCTGACCTACCCTTCGGAAGAGACATCCTCGAAATGATTTCCACAATGGAAAACTATTTCCTGTCTTCCTTAACTTGTCTTCATGGTCCAAAAAGTCAGACAAATTCGATCAGTGGAGCAACACGACAGCAGTTTCAGTTTAAATGCAAAACCCCTCATGGTTCCGAATTCTGGGTACGATGGTTTTATCCAACTTCGCCGAGCAACTTCGAATCGGAGCACGCCTTGCTAAAAAAGTACGAAGGAATTTGTTTCCACTACGTTACGGGGATGCAAAGAACTCAAGTACCAAATTTTATCGTAACGAATGACCAATTTGAAGGGAAAATTATCCTAACCATTTCTCACATTCCCGACTCACCCCTAGATTCTTGGATGAACGCGACGTTCCCACAGCGCAGAAATTTTGAAACCCCCAAGGAACAAATTCGGTCCCAAATACAAATGTCTCGTGGCGTTTTTAAAGGTCTCGAAGTTCTTTTAAGAGCAAAATTGTCAGACTTGGTCCTACTTCCGAAACAGACTATGATTCATGATGCGAAGTCTGGGCTTCCAAAAGTGCAATTCGATGCTTCCATAATTCATTTCGAAGGGGAGACTAAATCATGCTCCCAGTTTGACCAATTGTTTACTCAGGGTAACACCCCCACGAAGACAACGTTTTGTATCGGAATGATCATGCTCTACTCTTTATCCGCCACAACGGAAGAGGATTTTCATAAATTGGCTCATGAGTTTACCACGACCAAGAATGAGAATGACTTTAAGATGGAAATCATAGGAAAATATGCCCCAATAATTGCGGCTTCGAAGTCCCTCATGAATTTGGTGCACAGAGTGATCCACTCAACATACAGTTCCCATCAAATTATAAATCTCTTTGTGGATTGGACCGCATTAAGCAACGACTTTGCCCATGAGGAGGACGAGATTAATTTTTTTGGCATAGACGAACGCGTGAAATTGTTAGTTTACCCCGTTGGAAGAGGTGTCATTGAAGACTTATTCCTCGAATTGATTAAACTTCCCTTGACTTTGAGCAGTGTTGATAAACTGGTGGATAAACTATTCAACGAAGAGGGGATACTTCCTGACGTGGAATTAAAAAAATCCCTTGACAGTTTTGAAAGCATACTCTACTACGTGAAGGATACAAGGTTACCTATACACATGATATAATGTTATAAAATTATTCAACGCCGTGCATATATGAACTTGGTACATATGTACATAGTAGACTTGAACCAGCTGAAATTACTTATTATTTGGTAACATGCTGAGGTGTTAAGCGAAGTTACGGGTAAACGTTATTCCAAAATAAATGTACAAACCGAATGCCTTTTAAGGCTGCCTGTGACGCATGAACAAAAATAATTTCTTAAGAATGATGTTACGGGATCATTTTTGGACAGAATAGAAAATGGATCCGTAAATATGTGGGGAATGGGTTTCTCCACAGAATTACGGATCCGTTTTCCATTCTCTCCAAAAATGAGCCCTTAACATCATTTTTTTAGGAATTCATTGTCCCACGCACGGTTAAAGGACTCTCCATGCCAATTAAAGTTGCTGCTTTTGGCGCCTGTAGTTGCCTGTAGTTTGTTTTCCAAATCGCACCTCCTGTACACATATTTTGACATCAGCAGGGTTCCTACATTACATATGTATGTATATATGTGAAGTATACGTGATGTATATTTTCCATGATAGTTTTTGTATGCATTGTATGCTATATATTAATTATCTACAATTTCAATCAACTAGATTTTACAGCTCAACTTTGATTCGTCTATGTAGCTTGACGAAAATTCTTCACCGACAGAATCATCAAATAATCCGCAGTCATTATTTACGGTTTTTTTTTGAAATTTTAATATGTATGGGGTTTTGATGATTCTGCCGGTAAAAAGCTGTTGCGAACCAAAATTGAGCCTAAAACTAGACTAAACTTGCAGGCGATTAATCCTATTTGTGGAATTTTTAAACTTGCATAAATCGTCTATAAAAACTATAATGGAAAAATACAATACGGAAACCTTGGGTGTACATAAGGTAAATCCTTACTTGTTTAGCCCCAGCGTCCTGAGTAGAAATCTCTGTGTCGAGTTCTGCAGAAATCGACAAAAACCCGGGTGCTAATTAAACGGTCCAACGAAAATACAGTTTCATCCAACCAAAATTAATGATATCGCCAATAATGCAATGTGCAACGGGTTTAATTTTTCTTTCCAACGAAAATGTAAAAGCATCCACCCAAATTATAGGTGTTTTACACACATCCTATTAGCCCATTTTGCAATTACGAAATTGCGATTTCAATTACGAAACCTATCAGTACAGTTTGCTTAGCCCGAACCGGAATTGCTTGGTAAACCCATATTTATCACTACTTTTCTATAAAATTGTGTGCTACTATGCACTAATTCATGTACTGTCATCAATTATTCTTATAAACACAAATACTTCGTTTCAAATTCTAAAAAGATTTACTATCCCCTCCCCTTGACTATTTCCCATGACCAGAGGAGGTCGCCCCTATAAAAATTCCGAAATTCAACTCTCCCATATGCTAATCATAAGTAATTGTTCGCCTCCAGTCTAAATTTCAACTGATTATATAAACTCTTAGAAATCGGTATGGGTCACCCCGTAATGCCCCTCCGCCCAATTTTTGTTCATACTTATATATCGGCTCATCGTCGCCTTCCACAGGGGTCGAAATAGTCAACAATCTAGGTTTTTCGCCCATTTTGCAAAGTTTAACCGATATCACTTGGGTTTAAAAGCGTTTTATACTGACCCCTGTATGTCTGGCACCCCTCTTTTGTCATGTTGGGTTAGTCCCAAAAGTAATTATTAAATTATGTCAATTCTTCCAAAAGTGCCGTTGTGCAAGATTCCAGTTTTTATAGCAGAACTAGCCAATTTATTTGCAATTTTTTATGCAAGTTAGCATTTTTTGATGGGGAGAGTATCCTCGAACTATCTTATCTGCGTTTGGGTTTAAAATATTTTTTGATGCTCCGCAATCCCAGCTTATTTCTGGTGTTTACATTTTCAATAAACCCCATACCCTGCACTGGATAATGATATGGTGTTTATTTCCTTGTGCTGGCGAGAAGACTTTCCCTTTGGTATCGTCTTTCAAAAAACATTTCACAACAAAACTTTCAAATACAAAAGTTATCAACAAAAACCGAGGGAAAAAGTCATCGAGCACCCTCTACACAATATGGTAAAAATTTCAAGTCAGTCGGTCAACTTGTTCGTAAGTTATTGAAGGACGGACAGACAATTACATAAGCCCTGGTTCGGGCTAAACATTAAATTATTTCGTTGGAAATTTTAATGAAAAGCGTTGTAAAATAAATCAATTGGTTGCACAAGTCATGATTGGCGAAGTTATTAATTTTGGTTGGAATAATCCATATTTTCGTTGGATGGTATAAAATTAATCCCAAAAACCCTATGCATAGTGTATTATGCATATTTTTTAAAAAATAATCCTGCAGAAAATTTGTGTCGCTATTACTATGCAGAACCATATGTGCATAATTCTGCATAATTCTGCATAGGTTTCTTCAGAAATCTCTATGCATAAAGCTCTATGCATAAAGAAGAATATTGGGCCAATTTTCTGCAGGAAATTTGTTCAAATTTTTACTCGGAGTAGGATAAATGCATATTAATTTCATCATGTAATTTACAGACCCTGGCTAATTCGAGAACTAATATCAAACCTTGAGATCCACTTCTCTTCACAACTTTTTACCAAGTTATTCAAGTCTATTTCTACCCACTGGCTAAAACAAATTCAAAACTTCTCCTACCTCGGTGTGGGGGAGCATGGCTACCTATTTCAAAAAGAAGAGGATGCCACAGCCATGCCGGAATTTCGGTCAAGAATTATGTTGCTCTTGCCAAAACCTGGAGCGAGCATAAAAGTCGTGTCAAAAATGTTTTCCAAAATCAACCTCAATCTGTCAAGGGACCACTTTCTCCACTTTTACGACGGGATTGAGCAACGTACAATTTACTCCGAACAATTATATAACTACATATCGTCCTCTACTTACCTCCCTCGTGGCGTTGTGGACCTAATCCATTCCGGATATTACGTCCAATTCTGGCTAATTCAGTATCGCGCGGGAAGAACTAGTCTGCAAGATTACCTAGCTAATTCTAAACCCCTTGTTGTAAATTCCTTTGCATATGATATTATCGAAAGTTTATTTCACTGTGTCGAGTTTTACGGAGTGTTCAACATTCCTGTGCCAATGCCATCTCCGGAAAACATATTTTTCGTGGATTGGATATCCTCGGGTACTCAAGGTAGCGGCAAATTCAAATTACCAGTGGTTATAGGAGACCAATCTTTAATCACCCTTACCTCGGAGCAGCACACTTCAAACCTAACTCGTACCGAAAGGCCGACAATTGTTTACAAGTTGGGTTTACTAATTCTGCAACTATTATTCCCTGAAAATTGCAAAATCGGGGTTGAGGAATTACTTGGCAAAATTGAAAGCGTGTATCCCAATCACCACTATTTATCCTGCCTTCTGCGTGAGATGATGCTCCCAAATGGTAAAGAATCCATGAACCTGGAACATTTTCAGAATCTTGAGATAGCAAGTATTGGCTTGATGCCTGTTAAACGTCCCCCTTTCACCCTACGTGACGACATTGATACAATTACGCTCTTAAACCACGGGGATAATCAGAATATCGTCGGGGATGTGGTTGCCCTTTTATATGATGATATCATAGAGCTAACGCGTAGCTCAAATCCAACGCACGCCGATTGGCAAGAAAACTTAGACCGTATCCTAATAGAAGACAGGAGCAGTGGCTGTGGGCATTTTAAAGAACTTGAGTGCAATCGTGAAAAATTCGAGGAAATGTCCAATGTACTGCAAATGTTAAAAAACAAATCTCTCGCAAATGGATACCTTTGGATCAAAGAGATTTTTTTGTTTGGTGCATTCGACAACCCAAGGTTTCGAGAAAAATTGGCATCAACGATTAAATCAGTTTGGGTTAAGACGATACTCTCTGAGATTGAGTTAATTGGATGCGGATCATTCGGACTTGTGTTTCAGACCAGCGATGAAACCTGGAAGGACCGCAAATGTGCGACAAAATTAATTGTTCCCTCGAATGAAGACGAGGCTCAAAATGTGATACGAGAAGTGGAAAATGTGAGAGGTCTCTTCCATCCAAATGTTATTTGGATCAAAAACCATGCAACAGAAATTTTGTTAGCAGAGGCAGATTTTAAGGTACCGTCAAACCTCTATTTATAGCACTATTCTAATTATAGCCGGTCTCCAAACATAGCCGGGTCTAGAGACCAAGATTTCAAAATTTTAGCCGGGTCTCTAATTATGGCCTGTTTCGTCCGCTGTATCCCCGCTCATAGCCCATTCAAGAAAAATGTTGCACATTATGCTCATCAACGAACAAGTTGAACTACTAATTTTTACCTATTAATTTCAAGTTAATAATGGATATAATCATGACAGAAAATTAAAAAAAACTGACAAACCTCGTTTAAAGATGTAGATTCAAAGCGAATGGATTACTAATGGCATATCCTGCAAAATAAGAAAACTCAAATTGAGTCAGCATGATCTGGTAACGTCCAAAATTTTGGGACGAACAAAATTTAGCCGGGTCTCCAATTATATCCGGTATCTAATTGTAGCCGGGTCCGTGACTCACAGTTTTGGATTTTAGCCCCGGCTATAAATAGAGTATTTACGGTATTAAAATCATAACTGACAACAAAACATTTTCCACTGAACCCAAATAAATTATGGACCATGGACCACAAACAAATTCGTCTATCGATGGACCATTTTTAAGATGGTCCTGGGTTTTTCGAGTATTTGGGGTTTGATTGGGGGCAGCAATACCCAAGGGAGATGGTTTCGATTTTAATAAAATGCGCAATCTATTATATTAACAGCGCATTCAGGGTATGCTACCCCGGGTTTTTGGGGTATTGCGGTATTGCGGGTTTTGGTGGGCTTTGGGGTAGCAAATTTGAGCAATACCCACGGGTAGTCGGGGTGGTCGGGGTAGTTGGGGTTTTCAAATTTTACAAATATGATAACAGGGCATTACTAGCAATTCAACAAATTAATTACTTATTAAAATATAATTAATAAGCAGTTTTGTTGCGAAATTACTGAAAAACTGATTTTTTCATTAATTTCATTAGTACATGGGGTACTGACTCAGTTTGCCCCCAAAACCCCGACTACCCGCAAAACCCAGGTAAAACCCCGGGGTATGAGTTTTCAATAGCAAAACCCCGGGGTTTTCTTTACACTGAGCGCATTTCTCAAGCGGGCAACGGGTCGGGTACCCGTTACCCGCATACCCGCACGATTTGTGCGGGTAGTTCAGTTTTTATTCAATTTTGGCCAAAAATTGGCTCACAAGCAAAGTTAGTAGCTCAGCAGGCCGTACATTTACATAAGTATGATTTTATTATTTATGTATCCACTTCAAAATTTGCTATTTCCCAGCACCAAGCGTTTATACTGAATTTGGAGAAATTATTGTTTCTGAAGCATAATTTGCCTGCTCTAAATTAGTTTTTAGCTTAATTCTCTGAACGTGTAGCGGGTGACGGGTATCCGCACGGGTACGGGTAGTTGTGCTGGGTCTGGTAACGGGTAGCATCGTTTCACCCCTTAACGAATACCAGAAACTATGTACATAAATTGATAATACAATTTAAATTCCAATGAATAAATATTTACTAGAATGCTACTATACAAATCTAATTGAATATGCAATTTGATTAACAGGTTCTCCTGAAAGGTGAACTTGACATCCCCAACGACAAGACCGAAAGCGAAGTATCTTCATCCGGAGACCCGGCTACGATGCGAATTGAAAAGCTAATTCTTCGCTCCCGCCAAGCGCCGGTTCCATGTTGTCTGATAAAAATGAATTTAGGTGGTCCCACCTTGCGACAATTTCTTGCTGAGACATTTAATCTACGGAAAAATCCGGAAAACAAAATCGGTCGGTATCAGTTAGCAATTTGCCGCGACCTCATCCGAGGAATGCAATATCTACAGTCCAAAAAAATTCTGCACTGTGACTTGAAACCTGACAACATTTTACTTGCTACTTTTGGAATCCCAATAAATCAATTTGAAGAAAATTTCGATGACAAATTTATGCTACCTGTGCAATTTGCGGATTTTGGCTTGTCCTTCACATTGGATGGAAATACCCACGAATTTAGTAAAATACGAAGAGGAAATTTGCGATATCAAGCTCCTGAAGCTGAAACGACCTTTAGCTCTGAGATTTACTCGATAGGTTTAATTATTTTTGAAGTTTTGGTTCCATGCGTGGGTGCAGGATTGCGTAATCTCACTGAAAAATTGGTTTCAAATTCTACGCTAAAATTTAACGCTGATGAGATTCCTGTGCAAGAATTCATATTGGGACTAAGATCATTTCTTCAGAAGGACGTGAAGAACAGGATGTCAGTTCAAGACTTTCAAATGTTTGATGTAGACTGGGTTCACCTTTATAATTTCTTTCTTAACAGGGTGCAAGAAATTCTGAAGGAAATTATAGGGTATAAGGAATAATTTGACTAATTTGAAATTGGTAAATATAAATATGTATAGATTTATAGCATTATTTATGGGTGCAATTTGATAAAAAGTGTAGTCGAATATTTACATACATATTTAGTTCCGTGTTCGTCATTTTTGGAAGATGACGTATTCCAAATCAGAGAAACTTCACGCGTGCTAGATGGAAGTGTGCAAAACAAGTACTTAATTATAATGTTCAATTAACTATTTTTTCAAACTTTTCAAACTTTAAACAACATACATATTTACATAAGCTTTAAATGATTCATTGATGTGTATTCCATTGTTCTTATGCGGTAAGAAAGTGTAGTTTTCAGTCCATACAAAAGTGTGGCTTCCCTGTTTTGAATTTCGGAGAAGTGTTATACCTACATCATTACATACATATTTAGATCTTTAGTCTTACTACTAAACTTTGTAATTTACGTATTATTTACGAATAAATAAATTGTCTATTGTGTAGATAAATAGATGGATATATTTACATAGATAAGCGATTCCACTAACGTATTCATGAAAGGGAATATGCAAATCAAGGATTCTTATCGAATTTTAACTTTTTAGCCCGAGTCAGGGCTTATGTATCCGTCATGTCCGTCTGTCTGTCTGTCTGTCTGTCTGTCTGTCTGTCTGTCTGTCTGTCTGTCCGTCTGTCTGTCTGGTTTGCGATAACTGCCGTTAAACTAATCCGATCGACTTGAGATTTTGCACAAATGTAGTATGGGTCAAATGAGGAGTTAAGTTCGAAGATGGGCGAAATCGGTCAAGTGGTTGACCGGTGGGGGTCATATAGGTGAGTGGGGTATTATGCATCAAAATTTCAAAATTGCCGGAGAAAGGTGAAATTTGGCGCAGAGGTTGATAATGGTAATACGAAGTAGAATTCCAAAAATTTTCATTTGGAGGGACCCTAGGGGGTGACCCATACCGATTTTTAAAACTTATCAAATCGAGCTGAAATTTGCTACATAGGTAGTTAATGACTTCCAATGGAAGAATATGAATTGAAATTCGAGACATTTTCACCTGGACAAACCCTATGGGGTGACCCATACCAATTTTTCAAATTCGTCAAATCGAGCTGAAATTTGGGACATAGGTTTTTAGTAGCCCCTAATGGAACAATATGAAGTAAAATAAGAAAATTTTTCACCTGGAGGGCCTTATTGGGCGACCCAATAACGTGACCAGGGAGAAAAATATGTGTGCACCAACAACTGTATACGAACCTAGTTATCCGCGTGGCTGGAATTTACATATTTTGCGTCTAATATTACTAGGATAATATCCTGAGAGTTTTAGGAAAAACAATACACCCGTTTCAAAGTTATGGTCACAGTCGATACTGATGACCAAGGGAAAAAAATTTAGCGATAGCCCAGTACATTTAGTAATAGTGGATAAATTTTGGTGTATGGGTTACTAAAGGCTCTTAATTGAAGAATTCGAACTTCTAAAAATTTTAATTTGAAAATGTATTTACGCCTGACTCGGGCTATATCAAGTCTGCACTGTAGGTTTTTGTTTCATAACTTTCATTCGTTGCTGCATGTAGGCGATGTGAAAATTTAATAAATCATAAAGGCAATCTTTGCTGTAAGTACTTAAATTACATATTCCATGAATTTTAATCAGATCCGTCTATACCCAAATTATAAAATTTAAGACAGCAGTTACATAAATATCCATATCTTTATCAGCTTTTGATACTGGTTGTCATTCATATAGTAGGGAAATTACTTAATTCTTTGTCTTTTTCGTATTTTTGCCAATCCACTCCACAGCTTCGGCAATGCTGACTTGTCCATCCCGATTTGTGTCAGCCTCCTTAAAGAACTTGCTGTAGTCCACTTTTGGGAAGGCCGGATCATGAATCAGCATCATTTGGACGATCGACTTGAATTCGGACTCATCGATGTATCCATCCTTATTTTCGTCGAGGGCGGTGACATTGTGTCGCATCATTTCTTTCGGGTCGTCAATTACTGCCAAACATGCGACGGCAAGATCCAAGGGAAGTTTTCGGTTGTGATAGTCACGCAAATATTTGTTGTATGCTGCTTTCTGCTCGTCAGTGCAGGTGTAACTCATATTCGCAAAGAAGACGTTCAGATCAGTGACGTCAATCTTGTCATCGTTAAAAGTCGGCATTTTCTTGAAAGCTGCTTCCACCTCGAAATGATCGTATCTTCGGTTGTGAGCCATCTCGAACAATCTGGGGTCAAATTAAATCATCAATTTGTTATCCTTATAAAGTTAAAATAAAGGATATGTTTTTTTTCGGAATTAATAACTGTCAAATTTAACGGGTGTATCCGGAAAATAGATCTTTATGGCAGATTTGGTAAATGATTTGCAAAAAATGCTAAATACCACGTTGTCGTGAGTACCCCCAAACATTTTGGGTACAGAATATTGCAATAAAATCAGATATGCTGTTCACAATTAATGTACACTCATTAGAAAGTTCTTAAACTCTAAATCATTTACTACAAATCTAAGAATTGGTTCAAATAATGGTTTACTGCTACCAATTCCGGTAATAAATTTCCACCAAAACAGTATCAGTTCGAGTACGAAGTATGTATGTGGCGCTAGCAGATTTTTAACAGTGTACACAGCTATTTTTAATTGACATTTAGATGCATAATGGCATACAAAAATTGTTTGTCGAATATTGGTGATTTACATACCTTGTGAATACCGTACTTCGTGTGTCCCTGTTGTACAACGCACAAAAATCTCTCAACCTGAAAACTTTGAATTGGAAACTAAAAAGATCCAGGTAAATACACCCTTCTTTTCGCTGCACGTTACCAAGATTAAATGACAACAGGCAATAGAATTCTGGTGGGTTAAATACGACAAAAAGAAGGAAAATGAGCATCATTTAGTTAAGTGGGTTGGAGGAAAATGCGATAAATTATCTATCTGCAAAGATCCGTGTCAAGTCTTCTGCAAAAAAATCTTCACGTTTCAAAAATGCTTTATGACTTGACACCGTGCTTGCCGTGAAGAAAAGTGCAAGAAATTGTTGTTTTGCAGGCATAATTCCTTGCAAGAAATGTGCGAAATTAGCGCGATGTAGGGGAGGGGGCAATCTCTATAATTACGTGTACATCTATAGTGCAAGCCGCTAGATGGCGCAAATTTCCTGAATTTCGTGCACCTTGCATTTCTTGCAGTGCAGTGCAATAAATCGGATCACGTCACAATCACTTTGACCCGATGCATTGTAAATACCTAACTGCAATAAAAATGATCCCATTAGTGGACAATTACTTAATTGGATAAACACTCAGGAAACAGATAGAAATGAGGTAGGTCATTGAACACGCTTGTACGTAGTTGCAGAAGTGACGTCAAATGTTATGACTAGTAGAAATCATACCATAATTTAGCTTACTGTTAAAAATCTGGTAGAGTCCGGAGTCACACGTACATACGTGCTGATATTGATTGGGTAATAACTTCCTACCGGATAGGTCTGAGTTTGTTTCTGGGTGATAAATTTTTCATCACCAGAACATTATTAAACAGTTATGTTCGTCATTAACATGCCGGAACGGTCATACATAAATGTACTACAATTGGTAAGTTTCCTAAGAGTTTAAATAAGTGCAATGCGTACGTACTATAAATTTCCAATAATGCTGTATTGTTTTCCCTTGTATTAGTATTTAAACAAACCTGTCTTTTCTAGGAAACATAAATAAATACATAGCTCCTTAGTCATTACTCAAACGCTTTGAGATCGAGTTCAAGTCAATGACGCAAACTGAACATAAGTGCGATAAATTAGTATGACCTACATATGTATGTACATAGGTAAGTAGTTGCTTATAAGATCTTGGTTAGCCGTTGTACATAGCCGTTATATGTAGTTTAGATGGAAATATTAATTTGCAAACCTATGTATATGCAAATATCTACATACATAGTTACATATTTTTGAAATCATACCTGTTGAAATAAGAAACCTTTCTCAGCGATACTTTGAATAAAGACTAGTTTACTGCATCCAAATTCACTCGTATAAATAGTTCAATGTTATGCTTAATTAAGACATTTTTAATTACTAAAGAACTAATCACTAACAAGGGAACATACCGAGGTGTCCAACGAGTTAAGGGTCGACACCTATACCAAAATGACCACAATACATGACTTATTAAACAAACTGAAGGAATTTCCGTGTAAAAATCACTTTTCGTCAAGTTGTGACGATATTTGTGACGAGCGCATGACCATCGGGTTGCCAGCGGGAGAGGTCAGCCGCTGAACGATCAGATCGAACACAGAGAAGCGTCGTCGTCTTCACGTCGTCTTCAGAGATTTCAAATTCTTTCAAATTTTGAAAACATCTTTAAATTTTGGAAAAATTTTGAAATTTCTTCAAGATTGCAAAAATTTCTTCAAAATTGCAAAATGTTCTAAAAATTTTGAAATTTTCTCAAAATTTCAAAATTTTCTCAAAATTTTCTCAAATTTTTTTCAAAATTTCAAGATGTTTTCAAAATTTGAAAGAATTTGAAATCTCTGAAGAAACGACGTGAAGACGACGACGCTTCTCTGTGTTCGATCTGATCGTTCAGCGGCCGACCTCTCCCTCTCTGGAACCCAATGGTCATGCGCTCGTCACAAATATCGTCACAACTTGACGAAAAGTGATTTTTACACGGAAATTCCTTCAGTTTGTTTAATAAGTCATGTACTGTGGTCATTTTGGTATAGGTGTCGACCCTTAACTCGTTGGACACCTCGGTATGTTCCCTTGTAAGTGGCAGTGATAAATGGGAACGGATCCCAGTCGTCAAATGCCATAATCATGCATCAGAGTTTCACACAGGATGTCATTGAACCTACTTAAATTTTTGTATTGCTTAAAAATAATCATGCATATTTTTATTGTTACCCACAACTAATAATTTGCTCGAACTATAACATGCAATTTTCAAACTTTGTCCGTATCTACAAATTCACCTGAAAAGGGGACACAATACATAAGTCAAAAAAACAATTGTGCAGATTTTTATTGAAGTTTTATTATACTACTTTCTTAATAAGTATTATGTACAAAAACTGCTGGTTAACACAAGGGTACTCAAAATTAAACGTTTGGACAGACCAGGTAACTAATATACTTGAATAAAAAAGTAAATTGCATAATTCATGAATTTTAATCACTATCCTTGCCCAAATTATAAGCATTAAGTCAGCAGTTAAATATGAAATACATATGTACGCATATCTTTATTAGCTTTGCATGCTGGTTGTCTTAAAAACTCCAGATCAGTGTCTGGAAAATACATATGCAACGGTTTATTTTTTCGTGTTTTTGCCAATCCATTCCACCGCTTCTTCAATCGTAACTTGCCCATCCCCATCGGTGTCAGCCTCTTCAAAGAACTTGGCATAATCCACTTTTGGGAAGGTCGGATCATGAACCAATAACAATTGGACGATACACTTGAACTCGGCTTCATCTATGATTCCATCCTTATTTTGATCGAGGGCAGTAACATTGTGACGCATCATTTCTTTCGGGTCGTCAATTACTGCCAAACATGCGACGGCAAGATCCAAAGGAAGTTTTCTGTTGTGATAGTCACGCAAATATTTGTTGTATGCGGCTCTCTGTTCATCAGTGCAGGTGTAGTTCATATTGGCAAAGAAGACGTTCAGATCGGTGACGTCAATCGTGTCATCGTTAAAAGTCGGCATTTTCTTGAAAACTGCTTCCACCTCGTAATGATCGTATCGCCGGTTGTGAGCCATCTCGAATAATCTGGTTAAAATGAGCAATTCATTAGTTAAATTTAAAATAAAGACAGGATTTTTATGATTAAAAACCAATCGGCGTTCTGTAAAAATTACTGTAAGTGTTACTAGAAAGTGGTCAACAGGAGAGCCTATGTAGTTCGTTTTAAATACTACAAACCTGTAATAATGTTAAATTCTAATAATCTGCGTACATATTGATGTATCTCAACTGACGTGCCGGATGAAATTCAAGTTTCTTCATAAGTCAAATATTGTGAAATTAAACTTCAAATTTTTAGTTGATTATGTCAAAAATTATTGACCAGTTGTCAAATTTGATTTTTCCATGTTACTTGTACGCCCTTATAAACCGGGTACTACTGCTAAATCATTACTAATTGGCAGTAATTGGAACACAGATTTGATTCTACCACTACTGTAAAACCTAATTTGTAACAGACATTACTGTTTAATAATGTTCTGGTAATGAAAAATTTACCACTCAATAATAAACTACTACCAATTCGGTAGGAACTTACTACCAAATTAATACCAACCCGGAGTAGGACTCCGCCAGATTTTTAACAGTGTAACTGTTTTTTACTGACATTTACATTATGGAGAACCGAAATCGTTTCATAGAATGCTTGTGATTTACCTTTTCAATATGTTCCTTGATTCGTGTGCCCCTTTTTTAAGTGTACAGCTCACAAAAATATGACAACCTGAAACCTTGAAATTGGAAGCTAGAAGGACCCTGGTTAGTGTATCCCTGTTGTTTCTGTTGCTTGTTTTACGACTAAATGACAACAGGAGAAGAGATTTCTGGTGGGTTAAGTACCAAGTAAACCAGGAAAACAAGCGTTATTTATGTGAATTGCATGCAGGAGGAAAATATACTACTTAAATTGCACATATGTACATACCTACTGGGCCCAGGCAAGCTGAAAGTAGCTCTTTACTTCAAAACCGCTGGATATAATAAAAATCTAATAAGTGCATTGGATTCGTCGTGCGATTTTCTATAAGAAACATAATTTCACTTTTAACTACTTGCAACGCATATTGGTAGGGAAAATCGTGAAAGGACGCAGGAGACAAAAATTTTCCACCTAAAAATTCGGAGGAGAAATACTCAATTTGAAAACTACTACAGAAATCGAAGGTGAACTTTAATTTAGTCCAGAGGACTATAAAAATGTTCACTGGGATAGGGTTGACTACGAACAGTCGAAGAAGTATTTTTTTAAAACTTCAAACGACCACACCCATTGGCAAGGTGCTGAAGGCTAGAATCCGAAAAAATATACGGAATTTCACCGGAAACTAGCATTACAGCTGACAGTGTCGCTGCAGATTATCCAACGAGTGCTCAAACTGAACCTTGGACTTCAGGCTTCGAAACGTGGACCTTGTCATATGATGGTTATCCTCCAAAGGAAACCTAGATTTAAGAAATGAAGGGCCCTCCTGAAGCGGTTCGCTCCAAAAAAAGTAAAGAGGATTCTGTTTACAGATGAAGATATTTTGGCCGTGGAGAAATTTTTTAAGAAACAAAACGACATTTTTTACGCAAAACCTATCAAAGAGAGTTCCCAATAAAGAAAAAGGTCAAAAGTTCACAATATCCAGGTTTTATGGTGGTTTTGGCCGGTGCGAGCTGATTTGGGGAAATTTTTCATAATTTCATCTAAAATGGGGGGGAGGTGGGGGGATCAAATTTCTTAAAATATGTTTTCAAGTCCGTGGTACATCCCCTAAGTGAGATCCGATTCAATGGAGCCGATTAGACCTTTCAGAAGGACTCAGCACCAGTGCATAGTGCAAAAAACGATGCACGCGTGGCAAAAAAAAACAAATTCCGGACTTTATCTCCACTTCGGAATTTACATTCTCCTTGGTGCATTTGAACCCCCGGATTATGAAATATTGCAAAAATTATGTGCAAATGTGTGTTCTAGGATTCACAGAAGTATGGAAGCATTAAAAAAATCTTTGGCCACGAAATCAAAGAATTTGTCCTCAAACTCAGTGCGCACTTTCGTCAATGACAGGATGCCGCATCTTCAGCGCTAGATTTATGAGGGGGGAGGAAATTTCAAAAACTAGAAATTGTTTTCCACTCGAAAATTAGCTGGCTTTCCATTAAAATTAATCAGAAATTTGTAACACAGAAACTGTTGCGGCTACAGCCTTTCATTTCACTACCAGTTTGCCTGGGCCACCTAGTACATAAATGTGCATACAATTCGTGTCGCCTAACATTCAAGTCATGTATCTCACCTTTATACAGGAATTGAAAAAAAGTCATTCGATTTTCAAAGTGCATGAATGAGTTGAAACTGTGCTCAGTATTTGAGGTAAAAAAACTGAAAGAAATTGTTTAGCAAGCATCATTTCTCCGCGAATGCAAGAAATGCACGAAATAAACGCGATTTAGGGGACAGACAGTCTCCAAGTGTGGTACAATTTCTTGCATTTCGTGCACATTAGGGTAAGAAATCAGATCACGTCGAAATTCGTGATAAGAACTTTGAATTTATACGTTGTAAAAACCTAACTAATAAAAATTATCGCTTACATACATACATAAGTTGTCAAATTGCTTTATTGGATAAATTGCCTAGAAATAAGTGGAAGTGAGGTAGTCCAAGGAACACGGTTTACGTATATATGTATCTATGTACATAGGTATGAATGTAATTACAGAATTGACGTCAATTTATTTAGCAAATAGAAAGCGTACCACAATTAATTTGGGACAATACGTTAATGTACTGTGGATGTCCAATAAGCGTACATATCAGGATGTACTCTTTCCCCTGCTGTAATTTTATACCCCCCAACCTGTCTGTAATAGGGTACATACATAAGAAAAAGGTTAGGTGGTCATGAAATCCCTACAGCTCTGAGATCTAGATCCAGCTGAGGAGGTAAGCTGAAGATTAGTTTGATAAATTAGTGTAATCAAACAGCTATAAAGTTGTATACATCAGGTCCAACTGAAAAGGTGGGGGGTATAATTTCGCGAAGGCCAATTACCCGTTATACGTGTGTGCACACCGTACCGATTAGAGCCAAGAATTTGGGTGCTCTAATTTTATGAAATTGTAAAAAAATTGCTTCTATACAAAGATTTAAGTAATGTTGTGCATGAGTTTTTGAAATATTTTCTGCATAGATTCCTTAACAACGAGAATACTCCGCAATCTTACATATATATGTACTATGCTCTTTAAAACAGTATCGCATCCCTAGACGAACTTGCATGCAAGTAAAAGGTAAATTAACGTAAATTGTAAATTTATGAAGGTAAATTTACGTAGTTTGCAGGCCCCGATCTAGCCCAAAATCTTACCTGGGCAAAGAAATTAGGCGCCCCTAGCCGCTCGCGCCTTCGGCGCTCGCATGTGGCTTTTTTCTCAATCAGATATTTGCGCAAAATATTCTTACCCAGGCCGTATTAGAATGGACATATACAATGAGGTAGCAAACTTTTTGCCAGTGTTTAATGTGGTATTTACCAAGTGATATTTACCACTGGTAAAAACTGGTATTTACCGGTATTTACCACCGAGTTAAAGTGGTATGAAGTGGTATAAACCTTTTGGGGTATTGTGAGACTAATCCTGCCATACGAAGTTAAGAAAAATTTGCAAGAATTAATTATTTGGTTGATACACGGACAGTATTGAAAGTTTCAGTGATCACAGTTATAAAATTCATAAGTTATTACCACAGCACATACTAGGAATTATTAAATTTATTTAAAATGATAAAAAGATTCAAGTATTAAATAATTTTCAAACCCAATATTAAAACAAACTTTGGTTTCTGTCAATTGTCGCACGAAGGCAATGAATTTAGGTATGTTTCAAGTGTCACGGTTTACATGAAAGTTAAAAAATGTTATGAACAAACGCGCAAAAAAATATTCATTTATTATGGAAATTAAATTAAATGTGTTGTTTGTAATTCTTTATGTTTGAGTAACTTACCGAGAAATGTTAGGGAAGGTGAGAAATATTATGATAAACTATTAACAATCTACGTATTATTAAAAATATCATTTAGATTGAACTTCCCACAGTTTAAATCAACGAATCCTGAGTTTTTACCACTTGTTGCCAGTTTATACCACTTTTTACCATTTTACCACTTTACCACTTTTTACCACTGTGATGGTAAAAATCAAACCAAGTGGTATATAAAATTTAAAACACTGCTTTTTGCGCTCCTGCAACTTTACCTAGTCAGTCACGAAGTTCTTTGAAAGTTTTGGTAAATATATTTTCAGATATAATGCCCTTTCAATTTTGAGAAATGTAATTAGCAATACCACGAAATTTACTCCATCTAAATTCCAAAAATTAGAGAAAAATATGAATGGGGGGCAAGAAGTTACAGCGTTTCAATACTGTTAGTCTAAATTTTGCAAATTTAAAACTTCAGAAATTTTACTACGGTGATTTAGACAGCGTTTAAATAAGTTGAATTAAATTTTACCTTTTTATATCTATATGAAATTCTTTTACATCTTTATTGGTGATTATTGTTAAAATTGGGGACAAACCGACACCACAATTGGAAATATGCCTTCAAAAAATCTGACATTTACGTGCAAACAAACCAATTTATTTTGTTCACAAAAAATATAAAAGCGTCCCTGTATTTTTTGAATTTTGCATTTTCCATAAGGCGATAATTTGAGCGCGAATTTTAAGTTGTTTTCCAGCCAAAACGTCGGTCTTTAAAATTCTGCAAATTTTCTAATTTTAGCGCGAATCCAAAAGTTTGAAAACATGCCCCTTTAGATTGCCTTATTTCATTTATACAAAATCCACGTGCAATATTCTTTGAAAATTAGAACGACAAATTTGAAGACAACTTATTTTTTGCTTATTTTTTGTGGTCGCATGGTTATTCGATGTTTACATGTGAAAGACCTGCATAGTCAGTCCTCTTTGACATTTTTCAAAAATCGGAATGATATACATAAAACCACAATCTTTCTGAACTCTCAAGATGCTATGTAACCAATGCGACATAGAGCAGTTGTTATATCATTCAATTTATTTTGCTCCCCAGCGTAAACTCTAAATGTATTGCCAGGCATATTATTAAAAATAAGTTTTAGAGAATTTACATGCTTAGCAAAGTAGAGGTTAACACAACAATTTGGTGCATCAACACATCAGAACTGTCGCAATGACTTGTCTAAACTTGATAAACATAGAAACTCCAAGAAAAGATTTTCGAAATTTACAACAGGAAAATTCAATTATATCTAGTCTAAACCCGGGCGCTTGCCGGCGCCCCCCAGGGGTTTGGCGCCCCGGGCAGCTGCCCGGGTTGCCCGCCCCTAAATCGGGGCCTGGTAGTTTGACAGCATATTTGTAGAGTAAAATGCACCTAATTCGGTTGTACAACACGTTACATTACTCAAGATATGTGATACGCAAGTATTACGTATATGTACATACATATGCGCACGTATTGAACGTATTTACTTACGTATTATACACATTTCGCAATAGCCATTTCTTGTACTTTGATTCTAATTCGCATTCACAGAATTTTTAGGTTATCGTTATTGTTGCATGGTTTTATAACACGCATAATTTTGCAAAACCCAACATGGGCACGTACACATTTCCACAATCAACTGCAAGAATGAGACAGGCCGAAAAAAATGTACATAGATTCAAGAAATTTCAATATAAAAATCAGTTGCTGCGGAATCAATGGGGATATTTGGGGTCATTAGCATTGTAGGATAAGGGAGGGAGGGGTTACCTACATATATAACATAGCGACATTGAAGAACCGTATGGGCACATTGTCCTCACGATTCCGCTGGCACTAAATTTTGTGGTCGGATTCCCCCCACATTTCTCGGTCTACAATACGAATCAGAGTAAGAATGTCTATTCCAAAAGATGTCTATCATTTGACTAAAATGACTTGTGTTGCCTGCACTTTCGGTTCAACTTGAGGTATTAATGAATAACGAATAACTGAATTATTTAAGATTTAATACGGACTTTTTAAGTATTTATTAACTTTATAAAAATGTATGTACAAACTTTGCATAAGAATCCATTCTAATTTTTAATTCGTTGTTTTATATAAATTTAAAGTACTGTGTAAAAATTTGTAAGGATTTTACAATTTCCATTATCATCCTACAACTCCGCGTTGGGAGATTTCTTCACCACGACGCCCTTCCAAAAGGCTACTCGCCCTTTGATATTCTCCGCTGCAGCCTTTGGCTCTGCATAATACCTGCAACGATAATTATAAATGCATATGTAATTTCAAATCTTGTTGCGGAAATTAACTCTGAGGGTATTCATGATTCCTTCAATTCCTTAGTATTCCACGCATCGTTAAATAAGTTTCACTCGAAGAAATGTTATCCCGACCGGTGACTATTTGTGACTCAATACTCTTAGCAATCCAGTATTAAAATAATACCTGGAGGTATTCATATACATACATATGACTATACCAACTTGGTACTGATACATAAATAACACCGTGTAGTAATAATTCAGTATTAAAGTTTTACAATATTGATATCAAATTTTTACGGACCGCTAAATTTTTAATACCAAGCAGTAGCAACTTTAATACCGAGAAATCAATACCTGCGTGATCATAAATATTTATGTGATCAGTGTACCGGAATGGTGATCATACGTCACCGCTCGGTGACAGCTTGGTCACCGCATGGAAATAACCCACCACCAAATCGGTGATACTCAATCATCACACGCAAGTATCCACCACCAACACTGCAAAAACCACGATCACAAGAACCGGTACACTTATCATTTTCTTAGAGTATACGACCGACAGTTATGAGATTATGTAAGCGGCGTAAAATTTTGTCATCGAAAATTATGCACATTTTTTACGAAGCTTGACGCCTTATTTTTTTCCTTCGTAAACTATTTTACGATACAAAGGATACGAAGGCATTTGTGAATACTCATTACATATACATAAGTCTTTCCTGAGTTCTATTCAGCGGATAATAAGTAAAACACTTACCAAGCAGCATCCTTGTTAACCTTTCCTGCAAATCATTCAGTAAAAAATTGACGTCAACGTTATCGTAGTATTTTACCATTCATAAAAACAAATTAGCACAGTAATGCAGTAAAGTTTGCAAACTTTGCAAAAGTTAGCAAACAGTAAATACATATTTACATACATAAATGGGTTAAAAGAAATCATGTAAGCAAGTTTAAAATCTATTGTTCATATTTATGTAGGTATATATGTACAACAGGTCGGGAAATTTAATCTCTCATAGAAAATTATTTTAACCCGAGTCAGAGTGCTCAATTTTATTTTTTTTTGCAAAATAAAAAAATCAACGCCCAATTTTGCAAGATTTTTACCATTTATGTACATACATACATATATATATATATACTGTTTTTAGTGTGTTGCACAAATCAGTGCGAATTTCCGTTCTGTTATTTATGTAAATATATCACTTCATAAAATTATTTACCATTAACGCGAACATTGTAATAATTTGCGGTCCCCTTCCACCCACAAACCGTTGTTGTATCCGACTTTTCAAAATATTCCATTTTGATCGAATCTGCAGGAAACTTTTAAACCAAACAGAAAAATTAATTAATTCATCTACAAAATTTAAAATACGTACACACTTATGCAAATTCTAAATCATTCTTATTTACGTATTGATTGCCCTCCACAACGACGCAATTTCCCGACTCTGCAATCACCACCCCCTCCCACGTGGCCACCATGGTTTCCATTGCTTTCTCCGCGGTACAAGTAACGAGCAAAAAGTTTAAAACGGAGAAAACATAGAACACTTTTCCCATATTATTGTAATATGCCTGGATATGTATTGGTGTTATGTGTGGGTAATTAAGTGTGAGACCGGCTGACAGAAGAAGCATACAAGTTGTCATGGTAACGCATACATAGCCTTGAGCTTGGTGCACCAACCTGTATGTACATAGATACATAGCAAAAATCCACACGATCAGTTATATATGGATAGATAGCTCAGCTCGCGGTGGTGGCTCTGAAATGTGCGAAAAACACATTTTGAGCACGCTTAAATTCGTTTTATCCCATTTCGGGGTCGTGGGTTCCAATACTAGTCGGGGCAATTGCTTTTTTTGCATTTTTGTTTACTGGCTTAGCCAGTATTTGGGACAGAGGTTTCAAAAATGACCACTATTTTGACCAATGATTCACTGCTTCAAATTTGCTCATGTTTAATGCATAGTAAGCATATATGCAAATTCTTATATACCTGTATGTATAAATACTTAAACTCATAAATTTTTTGGGGGGTAATGTAAGATTTCTAGCTTTTAGCGAATGTTGAATGTCGATCATTTTGTTAGCCTCGCACAGTGCTAGGGAGCCATCCTAGCTAGCAATCCTACCTAGCCATCCTAAATATCTTTACTAGCTAGCTATCCTACCTAGCTACCACAATATGGAGCATTATAACTTTACCCTAATAATTAATAATTAGTATTAATTTGTGCTCGAAAAATTTACCGCCTTACATAAAAATATTCGCTATTTATAATCGCTATTCTACAAGAAAAACAACAAATCTTACAATACCCCAAAAATTTCCCGCCTGGGGGAAGTAAGACAAGGTCTTAAAATTCTCTAGAACGTCCAAAAATAGAATAAAAATTTTAACCTCTGACCTTTTTTATGACCTTAATATACGTTTGCCGGCCTTAATAAGTTATTTTATATATTTCTGACCAGTATGAAGAACCCTTCATTTTGGTGTATCACATTTCCCTATCGGAGAGGAGTCCCTGTGATTGTTTTATACCTTGAATTTTATAAACTATTTTTATTGAGAACAAAATTGAAATCGGTTGATTAATTTGACTATATATCGTAATTTTGAATAAATTATACCCCACACAATGAAAGATTTTCATTCAGATCATTTGTTGTATTATTATGCACACTTTTCTGTGTGGACGTGCTCTGGTGCTAAGTGTTGGAAAGGCCCGTGCACCGCACCAAGTTCAGGCGAGTTGAGCTATCTATCTAACAAAGCTACATTTCTTATCGTGTGGCAAAAACCTACATATGCAGACATTTACCACTTATGCGTATGTATGCTTTCCATATATTTTTAATGAATTAAGTACATTTTTTATTTTATTTCTTAAAAAATAATCATTACAAAAATTACACCAATCTTAAATTGATTCCAGCATAGCATTTTTAATGTTGTCATGATTTTGCAGCTACATGTAAAATTGTGCACTATGTCGGCATATATGTAGAGTTTACATACAATTATGTAGATATTTATATTTGCACACTACAGAGGGGTGGGACAGAAGAAGGAGCCACTTTGCCTAAATTTATTCCGGCCTTATTATTCGTTTGTGAAGTTTGGTAATTGGTTCAGTGTGAAGCCCTTTAGTTTATCTAACGAGCCTCAGTCGCTTTTTCCAACCAGTCATGACCTTTGACACAATTTTCAGAGTGATTCTGCACCACTCGTCCTGAACACTTTTCCAAAGTGCATCAAAACGCACGCGTTTTCCTTTCAAGAAGGCTCTGTTTTAAGTACTCGAATCCAAAAAAATGACCGTGGGCACCTCCTCCAAAAAACATGCTAGGCCCACCGCCTCCGCCGAATAAGTCTGAAAAGAAATCTCCGGGAAATCCGCCACCACCAAAGTGGTCTCCATCATGGCCTCCACCTTCTTGCAACCCCCTTAATCCATATCGATCATAGACCTCTTTCTTTTTTGGATCAGACAATACATCATACGCGTAGGATATCTCTACAAGGTAAAATTTTCTGGGTATGACATATGCAAATTTTGAAAATGCCGCGACTGTGCATCACACGCCACCCCTAAAATTCAAGTGGCTCCTTCTTCTGTCCCACCCCTGTACTAGAAATCCGATAGAAAAATTATACCAAGGAGTATTATCAAAAAAATAATGATACTATTTTCAGAGTACCTACATATTTGATTCTATCAAAGTCGTATTTATCAGGGTTGGGCAAAATACTATTTGAAATACAAAATACAAATTACAAAATACAAAATACTATTTTGTATTTTGTATTTTGAGGGCCATGGTTCAGATGAAAGTATTTTGTATTTTGTATTTTGAAGCTAGCCGGGTATTTTGTATTTTGTATTTTGTATTTTCTAATTTTTCGGTCGGTCAATGGATTTTAAATACAAAAGTACTTTACAAAATACATTTGGCAAATATGAGACGAGCTCATGAGAAGAACAAGAGTTGGTCCATTCGATATCTATTGCAAACTAATATTTACGGTTTCAGCTAAATAGGATCTCAGATCTCATCGATTATTTTCAGTTTTTGGACTCATGGCTGTGTCAGAAAACTACATAAAATATGTCATATTAGAGAGTTGGAGATTTTTTGTACTTTTACTTGTACTGTACTGTGACTACAGTACAATACAAAAATTAGTACAAAAATCAAAAGACCTGGAGAATTTCATTATTTTGTACTCTGAAAAAATTGTATTGTAAAACTCCGCGAAATAGATGAGTCAAAAATTGAGACAAATCAACTCATGATATACAAAATGAGAATCCCTCCAACATGTGCGTTTAAAACGATCAAACCAAAAAGTCGAAATTTTTTACCCTTGACCTCGATTAAAACGGTCACCAGGCTGATATAAGCCGAAATGATAGTAATTTCTGAACTCCTCGCTTCAAAGTGAACTACGTCTGCAACGGTTGAAATAAAATATTAAGATTTTTGACCTTTGACCTCGTGAACATGGTCACGGGGTCTTCATACGTTAAAGCTATGCAGATTTCTTAAATTCTCGCCTTAATACACGTCTAAAACAGTCGACACTTAAATTGCGACCTTTGACCTCGTCCTTTCGGTCATTGGTTGGTCGTAGGTCAAAAGTATTGACGACTATAAATTCTTGGTGAAATTTCCTTTAAAATGATACCGCATATGAAAATTAAGGTACAATTTTGCGTTTACTTCACGCCAGGGTGACCTTGACCTTGACCACAGGGAGCCCATCTTCGAACTCGACCTAGGGTCAAAAATTAGAAGCAAAATGGCGAAAACGGCGTCTGATTACATTGAGGCGTTCTAGAGATATCCTAGTTGCCAACCCTTGATTTTTCCACAGTAGTACAAATTGAGCCCGTGTTTCAATTTGTCTACTGTAGACTGTAGAATTAGTACAAAAAGCTGATGACGTCATCATCTAGAGTCCACAGTACAGTCTACAGTCAGAGTACAAGGAATCTCCAACTCTCTATTTATGCAGATGATTAATTTTTTATTTTTAAATTTCTCACAAGTGTTATGATGGGTATTAAAACTTATTTTACTTCCTTATCTACACTTTATCGTACGAGAAGGTCTTTTGGTAGTGCGAGAAAGATTAAAATTACTTAGATTGAAATTATGTAGGGCTTATAATCTTCGTATCATTTTTTAGATAACAAATGACCTCAAACATACTCAGAAAAAGAATTAGTAACTTCCAAATAATGCTGTGAACTAAAATGAGTTTGCAAAACTTTTGAAATTTGAGCTTGACTTGTATTTTCAGGGTCAAATCTGGCAATAGTATTCTGTATTTTGAAATGTATTTTAAATACGTATTTTTCTTAGTGAGGAAAATACTCAACAACGAAAAAATTACTAAGTATGCAGTTACTATCGTTAAAAAAAGTGTAATTTTACGATATCTCAGCCATTTCTCAACCGATTTGGATAAAATTTTGCACAGATCATTTTGAGCCAATTTAAAAAAGTTTATCGATTCGACTTAGCGAATTTTTGATTTTTACCCGAGTTATGAACAAAAATGTACCCTTAGAAACACATTTATATTTATAGTTAATTACTGGCATATTGCAGCAAGAAACCAATTGCACAAAGTTTAGAGTAAATTTTTCTGCAAATTTTAAGGGTAGTATGATTAAAATCGGTTGATAAATGACAAAGTTTTTCCTATGAGAGGTGCAAAAAATGGATGAAATTTATATAATAGAAACACCATTGACAACAAAACCTTCAAAAAACTACTAATTACAAGTATTAAATAAACAAGGTCCCAAAAAGATGGAAATCTTAGTGAGGCTTGGTGTAACTACAGATATTAAATGAATTTTCCGGAACAGCATTTGCATCACCAATCTGCAAACTTTCTATTCGGAGATTTAGTTTTATAAAATTATCAGAATATTTCTAAGAGACAAGAGAGCTATGAATAAGGAGATGTAGGAACCGTATTATCTTTGATACCAAAGATAAACTTAATTCCATCCTTTTACAGTTCCTTGGTGTATAAGCTGCTGTTGATTTCATATTTCAATCTACAATAATTTGTAAATCGTCTAGAATAAGATAGTTTGGAGAGTGGTGATGCAAATGCTGTTCCGGAAAATTAATTTAACATCTGTAGTTGCACCAAGCCTCACTAAGATTTCCATCTTTTTGGGACCTTGTTTATGTATTTTGTATTTTTAGATTTCGACGATTTTGGCCAAAAGTATTTTGTATTTTGTATTTTTATGAGATTCGAGTATTTTGTATTTTGTAATTGTGTTTTGAAGGTTCACAGCAATGTATTTTCATTTTGTATTTTGTATTTTAAAACCCATGTATTTTGCCCAACCCTGGTATTTATAAATAACCCGGTGTAGTAATTCAGGATTTTACTCACTATGTACATCAGATTTTTAACAGTCTTGTACATAGCGTACGAATTTACGTTGAATCAGATATTTAACACCAATCATGAGTAAATACATTGTGTCATTTGCTATTTATGCTTTTTTCCAGGTAATGAGAGCCGTCACAGTATAATACAACATTGCCGAAAAATATTCCGTCCTACTTGGTTTATTGCACTTAAACAATTTTGCCCC